GTTATTAACTGGTTTATTTCAAAACCTATGGAGCGAACTACAATCACTTTGATCTCATTTGAAAGATAATTTAATTCCGGACAAAAAGTTTCCTATAAACATGGGTCGAAAAATGCTTTCTTAAAAAAGTTAGCGCCCAAAAACCTCTAAAATCACGGTTATTTTTTACATTTTTACAAATATCAGGGAAAGTATGCGTCTTTTAACAAAAAGTACCGAAACAAAAGTTGTAGAGAATTAAATTATCTTTCAAATGAGATCAAAGTGATTGTAGTTCGCTCCATAGGTTTTCAAATAAATCAGTTTATAACCAATTTCAATAGTACCGAAAAGTGTTTAATCTTTGAAAAAAAATAAGAAAAATTTTTTAAGAAAATTATTTCGTTTTATATGCGCATATACATAAAAATACTTCAATTATAATTTATTATCGTTGTAGTATATATTAGAAAGACAAAACATCATGTGCAGCTAATAAAACATTAATAAATCCGTAACATTTCTCCGCATTTTTGATCCACAATGTGTTTAGCACGGATATGCACCAACCGGTCGATTTACCATGGTATCAAAAAGTGGATCTGGCCATGTAGTTCCGCCGACTCTAAAATGGATCTAGTTAGCGCCACTGTACCAGCTAGGAAAACGGTCTCATATGTTTAGGAATATTTTTGTAATGGGGAAATATAGGATGAAAAGAGAGATAGATTGGTGAAACTGTCTGGAATTTACAACGGACAGAGGAATGGATTATTCCACGTAATTTTACTGTCAATAATTGTAAAAAAAGCATTTTATATGATTTAATTACGTTGCACGATATTTCTCACGCACTTACTGACAGCAGTATGACAGACGCGAAGAGTTTAAAAGAAGCCATCGAGCAGTATCAGACTCAGGTATAGTAACAGTTTATGAAAATAATATTATTTCGGCATATAAATTAAATCTATTGTAATACTTTTTCTTTTACTTATAATTTTTCATTTTTATTTATCATAATCTTTATCTATTTACGTTTACATAATTACATATTTGCAGCTATCACAAGTAGACACAACGCTGTCTGCAACGCCAATAGGATCTGATAGAGATAACTTGCTCAGCCTAAAATCTGATATTGAGGAACTCATTTCTTTGACAAAAGAGAGTTTGCAAAATCTTGAAGGAGATAGTACAATAAATAAAAATAGAGATGACAATTCTGATGATAAAACAGAAAATTTATTGGATAAAGAATATGCCTTGTTCAAGGTCTGTTTTAAATATGATTACTAATTATTGACAAAATCAATATTTTATTATTTTTATTTCTTTCTTATGAGTGCAATTGTAAATCAGCTAAGAAAAGATTATACTATGAAGCATGACTTATCCTTATCATATAAGAGTTTGTTACAGCATATTTTTATAATTTTCAAATATTATTATTTTATATTTAATATGTAAAGTTATAAAACAAAGATAGAGAAAAAGAAGAAAGGGAAGGAGAGAGAGAGAGAAAAAGCTTTGATGCATAACTGTATTGTAAACATGTATTGCTTAAATCCATTAGGCAGAGCTTGAAAACTTTTCGGATGACAGTGAAAGTACAAAACTGGACAATACAACTACCGCAGCTTCCGGTAGCATTGAAGTCAGTATACAACTATTCTCTATGTCATAACAATGGCACAATTATACGGTGCAAGTTGATCTTGTAGGATGAATTGAAGGAGCTAGAGGGTATGAAATGCAAGGCCCCTTATGGTAGTACTTGGGGTGGTAGGGGTTACCATAATGCTATGGTATGTTCTGCTTATAAAAACAATGACGAGGCAATTAAAGATATCCATGATATTAAGGTATATTTGTGTTATTAATACTATCAATAATAATTTAGATCCTACAACATATATTTTTGCTTTTCTTTTAATTTTTAAACTTGGTTTATTATTAATCAGGTTCGAGTATTCTTTCTCAATCCAACGCACAAGGAAATGATTCCATGCCCATATTTTCTTGATGGCAGTTGCAAATTTTCTGATGAAAGTTGCCATTATTCCCATGGCGAAATTGTGCCATTTTCAAGTCTACAGGAATACAAGTATATTTTCTCTTAATCTACAAAATTTATTTATTATTTATACTTAATATTTATTTTGATATAACTTTTATGATTTGTAGGGAACCTGATTTTCATAGCATTAAAATGGGAAGCAGGGTATTAACTAAACAAAAAAACAATATATGGCATAGATCTGTGATTTTAAAATTACCTGAAAAAGATGGGGATGAGTATAGAATAAAGTTTGAAGCAAGTGGAAAAATCATGGAATCTAGGTTACAAGATCTTTTACCTCTTGGTAAGAATGTTTTAGATTAATTATATAGTATAATTTTCCACTTTCTCTATAATCTTGTAATAAAAAATGTTTATTATATATTTACAGACGACACAGACCTAGAAATGTCAGATACTTCTGATGATAGTGCTGATGATGATTCTGTCTGTAATTCATCATCATACTCGAATGACCAATTGATTCATAAATCTCTTTTAACATTACAACCTACTGAATCTTTAGGAAATTGGGAGAAGCATACACGTGGTATGGGTAGCAAATTAATGATGCAAATGGGTTATATAATTGGTACCGGTCTTGGAAAACGGGGTGATGGTAGAATAGAACCTGTTGAAGCCACAGTCTTGCCACCAAGAAAATCTTTAGGTTTGTTTAAATCTTTCAAAACTGTCATGCAATGCATTATTTATTTCATTTATTATTTATTTTATTTTTCAGATCACTGTATGGAATTGCGTGAAATTGCTGGTGGTGACAAAGATTTGTTCTCTGCGGAACGTAAAATGCGCAAGCAGCAACAAAAATTAGAGCAGCAAAGAGAAAGACAGTATCAAAGAGAAAAACAAAAAGAGGACAGAAATGTGTTTAACTTTATCAATAAAACATTAGGCGATAAACGTAAGTTGAAAAATAAGAACATGACGATGCATTTAAAGAATATAACCTATTATATATCCCCATTGAATATAATGAATATATATATTATTCAAGTATCATTAATATCTCTTGCAGCTAAAGATGACAACGCTGCTAGTAGCTCACAAAGTAAAGATAAACTAAAGATAGAATCAAATAGAAATCTAAATGTAGCCAGCTTTCAAGTTGCACAGACTATAAGTCATTTCGAGAAGGAATCATTAAAGCTCAAAGAATCATTGGCTAGGCATGCTAAGGGTAGCATACTTTACAATAATATTGTGATGAAATATGATGGGATACAGAAGGAGCTTACTAATTTAAGAGCTTCTGAGAAAAGTATTGTTGCCGAACAAAATCAAAGGAAGAATAAAGCTAAATTAACTATATTTTGATATCAAGATGGTAGCATGGATAAAATATACGTTAAACACATGTCTGTATATAAAGCGAATCTAAATATAATGTTTTATTAATATTTTTCCACCGTGTTGCTCTCATTACAATAGGCACAGCCAAAAATAAAAAAGCAGCATAATTTAGTTTTTAAAGCGAGGATTTTAAAGTTGTTTGAGACTAAAGAGATTCGATTGTACTCCACAAAATTGTCAAATTTATTAGGAGACTAAATTTCAGCAAGATTTCAGTAACGCAAGTAGCGATTCAAATTTCGCGCTATCTTAAGGCTCCAGAGTAGTCGCCGTGAAACCCGGAACACGAGTTCCAGGTTCCAGGTCCCAGCTCAAGCGTGCTAATGGTTGCAGTGCAACCGTTCCACCAGCCCGGCTGGCTGAGGTCACGTGACCAATACTGGCCAATCCCTGACCGCTACGTCATCACGACGTCATCGAATCGTCCGCCAAGGCGACGAGATAGCCGCTGCGTACACAACTCACAATGAACATGGCGACGATAGGTAAGGCTATGCCTTACACGTTATCGCAATTATTTGACAATGCTTTCGAGCTGTTCAACAGTATTAATAAATCACAAGAACCGACGAATAGTCCAAAAATACAGGTATTTATGATGATTTTAAAACTTTTTGCAATAATGAAACCAATCGATTTTAAAGTTGTTTGAGACTAAAGAGATTCGATTGTACTCCACAAAATTGTCAAATTTATTAGGAGACTAAATTTCAGCAAGATTTCAGTAACGCAAGTAGCGATTCAAATTTCGCGCTATCTTAAGGCTCCAGAGTAGTCGCCGTGAAACCCGGAACACGAGTTCCAGGTTCCAGGTCCCAGCTCAAGCGTGCTAATGGTTGCAGTGCAACCGTTCCACCAGCCCGGCTGGCTGAGGTCACGTGACCAATACTGGCCAATCCCTGACCGCTACGTCATCACGACGTCATCGAATCGTCCGCCAAGGCGACGAGATAGCCGCTGCGTACACAACTCACAATGAACATGGCGACGATAGGTAAGGCTATGCCTTACACGTTATCGCAATTATTTGACAATGCTTTCGAGCTGTTCAACAGTATTAATAAATCACAAGAACCGACGAATAGTCCAAAAATACAGGTATTTATGATGATTTTAAAACTTTTTGCAGTAATGAAACCAATCGCTCTAAACAATATTCTTATATACATATATATATAATATATTATACTTTATATTTTTAAATTAAGTCAAAAACTATGTGAAACTTTTTACCGCAATAATAACTATCTTTTTGTTTCTTTTCTTTGCTGTTTGTCATAGTCAGACATTAGGCAGACAATGCGTATGTTCGAAGATGCAACAAAACTGGTATCTGTAGTGAATATGTTTAGTGACAATGAAACTTTCGATGAGGTAGCTACAGAGAATATCAAGTATTTCTTACTACCAGCTCTGTTGGGCAAGCTCACCACCAAAATATGTGGCAGCGATGACAGAATGCACCTTGTTAAAGTAACAGAAATCTATTTTGTGGACTTTTTGAAACGGCTGAAAACATATGGTCTGACAGATGTCAAAATACCAAAGATTGATAATGACAAGAATGAAGCAGGAGATAATCAAAATAAATTGAAGGATGAATCTAGTATGTTGGAGGATATGGTTAGTTTCCTATTATTGTGCAATTGTTGCAAATTATACATTGTAGATAGTATATAATTATTCTAATAATATAATTCTGCTAATTTTAGGTAACTCGTAGAAATACAAAGTTACAAAGATATAAGCAAGAGAAAGATCTGGAATCTCGTTTGGATAGTTTAAAGAAAAATTTAGACAATCCAAATGTGGATGACGAGATAAAAAGAGAATACTTTGTTACTCTTCTAAGATTATATGCAGTTCAGATAGTAGAAGAATTGAATTTCTTGGAAACAGAGAAAACAATTTTGGAAAACATGAAAGAAATGGGACCAATGCATACTATGGCTTCCAAATCACATATGACTCAAAAGCGAAAACCAGCTCCAAAATTACAACCCATCATCATTACACGTGATGAGGTACAGAAAAAAGTCTTTGGGGCAGGTTATCCAAGTTTACCAGTCTTAACAGTTGAAGAGTTTTATGAACAAAGGGTCAGAGATGGAGAGTAAGCAAATATTATGCTTAATAAACATTTTTTTATTATTTTGCGAATTTGGCAAAAAGGTAAATAATAATATGCGATGTCGTTCTAGTTGGCCCGATCCGTCACAGCGTAATGCAACAAATTCTCGATGTCTGCAAGACACGATGAATAAAGAAATAAGCGCCAACGACGAGGAGAACGAAGCCATCTTGAAGGAAGATATGGAAGAGAAAGATGATCCCGAGCACCTCGAACAAGCGCGCGCAATGGATGAATATAAAGATATGCATCGTCGCGGATGGGGTAATCGTGCTAACAGAAGTTAAATTGAGGACATATTTAAGATTGTTGCATGTTACAATATTCTGTGTCTCGGGTACGTATTTACGTTGTCTTTTTTACGTTAGCATTCGAATATTGTAACTTTGTATCAAATAATGTTTTATTTGATTTATGCAAAGTTGCAGATCTAACAAAGTTTTTTGGCTAGTGATACGTATTTTGTTTTATGAGCAGAAGAAGGAAGAGGATGTTAATTTTTTAAAAAGAATAGTGTAATCATGTACATGTATATATCTATACCTTGATTATTAGTAAATCTAAACAAAGCTACATTTTTGTAATAAATTGAACAAGAATTTAATAATCTCCCTGCGATTAAAATAATTTTCGGCAAAATAAAAAATATATAGTTCTGTGCAAAACTATATATATTCCGATTTGTGTATATATAATAATATATAAGATTGTGTTGAGTGTGAATAGAGAAACGAGTCCTTTATCACAGAGTTCGATGTTATATGTATTGTACTGCAAACTCATCGAAACACAGGAATAAAATCATTAAGTAATTTATTATGTGAATACAATATAAATCCAAAGGAGAAGTTCTCCACACAGCCACGTCCTAGATTCCTCGAGTGTTCGGAAAATTGCGTCGCGGCGGCTTGCTCGCCTCGAGAATCTCGATTTCGACGTTAATGATTCATGAAGTTACTGTAATATATGCACGCGCGCGTGCACCGTCGCAGTTAAGCATCTGTGAATGGCCATCCCGATATAAACGCGTATCTTACCACACAAGGCTATTGCCTTTCCATGTATTCGCTTCGTAAGCAAAAATCCCTCTCTGTGTTCACGTTTATATGTGCGTGCAAATCGGTGAGATCGACAGTACCGTAAGCTGATATTGTACCGCGAACGATATTCATGCTCGATTAGGAATGTTTGATAAAGGTAAAGTCAATAAAGGCAAATGTAATTTTTTATACGATCATTATAGCGAGTTTTATTGCGTAATTATAGTTGTGGATTGTTTTTATATTAACGAGTTTTTGCATTAACTGATCGAGTTGCATTCCTCGCGCATACTTTTTCCCTTTTTTATTCAGATTGATTATGTCTCGCATTTTTTTTTTTTTCAGAGTTTTTTTATCATATTGCAGCGCTTACTCCATTTGATTCTCGGAATAAAAGAAAAATGTAATGGGAGATATGTAAGACGAAATAACGATAGATGTAATACATAAAGTTGTTAAAATAAGTGAGAAATGATATTTTAATATATTAAAATATAATTATATATATTATTAAATATTTTAATATATATGTGTAATAGTTTAATTATTTAATACATATATGTTTTTAGTGGAAATTTAACAGTACACTGTTATTTCGTCAGAAAATATTTTATTGTTAATAATTTGTAATATAAATTTGCATTGCATTGACGTATTATTAGGCAAAAAAGCAGATTTCGATAATGGCTCCGAAAAATTCGGCCACTTCTCTGCTCTAGCGATACGGAAGATGGCGTCAACCCTGAAATTGCCGCGGCGCAGGTGTCACTCGAGCTGAGCAAAAATGGCGTACACACATACTCACGCGTATATATATATGCTGTGTGTGCGCGCGCGCGCAGCAGGTTGCGGATACGCGTTCGTATAACTTTTTTGTGTTGCCATGTGTTTGTGCGCGCTCGGAGGACATGCAGCCGATTAGAGGCGCGTGAGCGTGTCTCGTGAAGAGTGCACGACGATCGCGCTGCGTATTCCCGCCCCCGCCACCGACGTGATGCGTGGTCGCGCGCAGAATACATTAAGACTTCTCGGAAGCGGCTAGCCTCGAAAAAATTGCATTCGAGTCTCGCGTGAACGGGCGAGCGGATCTCTTTACTGTAGATTGAAAGCGTGTGTCATTCGCGCAGCAGCGATTCGTCCTCTCTCTCTCTCTTTTTCTCTCTCTGTCTCGCTCCGTTTAAATCGCATTCTGCTGTATCTCGGAATACGGGATGAACCTGCACACGTCATTGAGTGCTCCCTGCAAAGGAATTCCGCTCGCGACGCGTGTATCCCATTCATGAAAAAGGCGTCGCAGTGTCAGCAGTGTTGATGTAAGTTGCAACGACGAATTGGGTTATGTTTCGCGATATATGAGTACCGTAAATGGCTGTACATATTTCGTGTTGTTTTGCGTTTTGCCGCGTAAGATACTTTTGTTATATATATGTATTCATATATATGTGTGTGTCGTATAGATGTGGAAGCTGCGTGTTTACATGCGCGCGCGTACACAAGACGCGCCGCTAAGTATGCCTATTATTATTCGAAAGAGAGAGAGACTGTGCGTTACGAATAAATTACAGACGACTTCGCACTTATCGCATTTTTACGCGTATATTCGATTATACGTTGAAGAGAAACGTTGGCTGTTTACGAGCGCGTTGGAAATCACACCTGTGTGAAAGAATTGTGTATATATACGTACGTGTGTGCGACTTTATTCAAGTTTGCTTAGTTTCTCTGTTTTATGGAATGTGATGAAACGACATTCGACGTATCATTCGAGAAAAATTTTCTAACGTGAATTATTGTTTGTACTCTCCAACTGCTAATTTTGAAAGTGAATATTCGGTAAAATTCCTTCGGTATAAATTTTGTATTTGATTCATCTTGTTTTTAAAACTTTCAATTTTGATATTAAAAATGACACGAATATTTGTCTCTATCTCTTAAAAAATAAAATTATGTATATAATTTGCTAAAACTATTTGTTGAATCAATAACAAACAAACAAAATGAAGATATGAGAAGTTAGAAACATTTTCCTCAAACATCTTTTTTTTTTACTTGCAAATTATTATATTTAAAGATCGAATTTTGAAAGTTTTATCAAAATTAGCGTCTTATAGAAAATTTATTATATGATTAGTAATAGCTATATATATATATTATACATATATTAAACAATACAATTTTCTTTATGCAGTTCCTAGAGTATTACTCCTAGAATAATACTCATAATAGAGATAATTTTATATTTGTAATATCATTTACCTATGTTGATCTTAATGTTATCTCTCTGAATCATTCAAGATTAGGCTAAGAAAGACACGAATAAGATATAAATGGGAACAAAGCTTCTGATATGATTAATACAATCTTTTTAGGTATCAAAGTAGGGACACATTGTCAGGAATTGTTATATGTTCCTAAAGATTCTTTAGAGTTGGTGAATAATATAAAAAGAGAAAGAAGAACGGAAACATGGATAGAGGACATGGTGCCACCTACACAGGAGGTGATAATCACCTACTCGAATACTGGGAGGAATATCAGAAAATGATAGAGGAGACAAAAATGTTGGATGATTATTTAGACGAAGAATGCAGTCCACGTAGTTATGATGGTTTGTATTATTATAATAATATATTTAAGTCATTACATATTCAAAAATATTAAAAGGTTTTTATATAAGAGATAACTTACAAGAAGTTGTTACATATTCTGTAATATATAATATATTAGAATATATGGAATGAATAGTTTTGTTATATTTTCTTTACAGAAGGGGAAGAAGAAGCTGAATGGTTACGTGCAGCAGGTTTAGGACAGTTGACAGAGGCGTGGAAAGCAGGCAGAGAAGTACAACCAGAAGAATTAGGCGCAGCTTTACGTCCTCTGTCACGAGCTCAGGCAGAAGCTGTGAAACGTCGCGTGAGATCGCTTAATCATACAGTTAAGCAACGTTTCAATCAGCGTCAGCGTGTTCGTAAACCAGACATTAGAGATGTCTTTAAGGATGTAGAGGTATGTTGATAAATTCATAAAGATGTTAAATACATAAATTACACATCTTTAATGTTCGAATTAATTTTTTTTAAATTAATATCAAATAAATATAATTTATTTAAAAAAAGTATTATTTATGTGTTAAATATATTTATATTTAAAGGTATCCAGTACCGGTACACGATCACGTAGCGCTACTCCTGACTCGTTGGATTCTATTCCAGGCGCTACACCAGAAAATGCATCACCTCCTTCACCTCCAACAGTTAATGTCATTGAAGATGCACATCAAAAGTAAGTATTGCAGTGTTTGATATAATTAATATCTCTTTATTTTTCCTTGCAGTATATCATTTATTTCTAATTATTTAAAGCGCTAGTGTACCGAGTTTCGTATCCATATTCCACCGAACGTCAAATGAGGGAAAAGCAACGGTTCGTAGAACACCAAGTGCTCCGCAAACAGTTCTCAACTCTGTACAAGTATCCACTCCAACCCCTGCTGCACCTGTACAAGAGATTTTCCGGAGGACCGGTAATTGGTCGCGAGGGGATGTCGCAAATGATTCTGGTATTACTACTTTTATACCTGCATTTAATAATTTAAAGATAATCAATAGTTTTATTCTGAAATGCAAAATATTGCATACTATATTACACAGAAGGGATTCAGCTGACCGGTTACCATAGATTGGGAACGATACACATTACCAGACCAGTTCAGAGACATAATAATGATGATCTCAGCAATGTAGCACATGCAGTACACATAAGTACCGAATCGATTAGAAAATTGGCCGTACCAAAGGAATCGACTCTTCGGTAATTTTAAAACAATTACTTATCTAATTATTGTCAAAACATTTTTTCCAATAGTCATCAATAATATACTATCTTAGACGAAGTGCGGGAAGTCATGCAACAGTAACTCGAAGTCACAGCAGTTTATATGGCTTAACTAGACCGGCGAATGAAAACCTAATAGCTCGTCCATTAAGTCGCACATCGTCGCACGGTCATCTCAGTTTCGAGGAAATGTGCAGAACCAATGAAGCTAAATCTCAATGGTCTTCCGACAATCTTGTAGCTGATGACGATTATGCTCGGCAAGATGTAGAATTATTATCACAACGAGATTTTACAAGATTGCAACCCCTTTTGTGGCTTGAGCTCACGGCGATTTTCGATAAATATAATATACCGCTCACGAGACGAAAACCCAATAAACGACGGAGAAAAAGTACGTAATATCAAGCAAGCATATTTTCACTCTTTCTGTATCAAAAATTGTCTTGTTATATATCCATTTATATTTGTAGCTGGAAATTTGTTTGGCGTTTCTTTATCGACGCTATTGCTCAGGGACAGTCAATTAACAAGTGAAGAAAATAACATACCATTAGTATTTCAAAAGATTCTTGATGAACTGACAAAACGTGGAGTAAAAGAAGAAGGTATTCTTCGTGTCGGAGGCCACAAGCAGAAAGTAAGAGAGAAAGTGTTTAATGGAAAATAATTATTAATTAAAATACTTAATAATAATTATTTACATATCATTATTAATTTTACAGGTGGAGATTATTTGTACAGAGCTAGAAACAGACTTTTATTGTAAGCCAAAAGAGATGGACAAATTGTTTAAATGTACTCCATGTCACGATTTATCAGCTGTTTTGAAAAGATTATTACGCGACTTGCCGCAACCTCTTCTCACTGTCGAATTGATTGACGCTTTCTATCAAAGTCATGGTTAGTGCAAATTATTTATCTTGTGCACTAAAGAAAAATTTAAAAAAATAATTTATTACATTTTTTATACAATTTTATACATAGGTGTAAAGAATCCCAATGACTTGATATACTCCCTTAATCTGCTGGTGCTATTGCTACCTGTCGAACATCGATGTACTTTAGAGGCATTATTGAATTTCTTGAAACTGATCATTGAAAATCAGGCATCAAATAAAATGTCAATACACAACGTGGCGATGATAGTGGCACCGTCGCTATTTCCACCCCGCTACATTCATCCTCGGGACCATACCGATCTGACTGCGCAAGTAAACATGGCTGCCATATGTTGTCAGGTAACGGAAGCTCTACTTAATAACGTCGACAAGTTATGGTATGTACCAACGGAACTTATAAATCAATTACGGAGACAGTCCGAGGTGGAGAGATATCGTAAGTACAAAAAGAAGTACTACTGATTAGATTCAGTTAACTTAAAGTTATTAACGCGTACGCGCAACCTCAAACTTTGTTATACTTCCATATTAGGTTATGTAATATATTAACAAATCAATTTTCATAAGAATTACTTAAAATGATTATTGAAGGCATTGATATAGCGCGTTGCGCATGTAATATTCTATTTAATGATGGTGCCTGTCTGCATATTGCGAAACCTTGCAGCGTTTTGTCTTTACTTTGTTAAGTATAAGATATTTAGGTTCATTAATGTTTTTAATGATTTTTTTATAATGCTCGTTAGTCAATTATGATATCATATTTCATCTCATTTATGATAACAATTGCTATCATGTATTATGTGTTTATTAGAATTTGTACATTTGTATGTGCAAATTGTGTTTTGTGATGCAATAATATATTTAATAAGAGATTTCCTCATTCCTTTGTTTGGTAAATTAAAAGTCACGTGTAATTTATATATAGGAACAAATTTCTATACAATGCAAGCTGAGAAATTTTATTTCTGGCAAGATTTTATATTACGACAAATTATTAAACTTGCATATTATAAATGTTATGTAAAAGATCAATTCATATTTAGCAACTCGGATATATTTATATTTTTGTGTGCTATAATTATCTAAATTTTTCTATTAATAATATTTATTTACATTGATTTATTTATATTGATTGATAGTATGCAGTACAGCAAGGTAAAATATGCAATAGTTATTCATATATTATGTATATGTTTGTGTAATATAATACAGGAAATTGCATTTCTCAGATACTATTATATCACAGTTTTTAATTTATTATATTGTTGATTATAATCTATGGAACCTCATTAGAATGATTATAATTTTGTCGATAGTTTTTCATTTAAATGATATCTCTTTCATTCAATGCAGAAGTTTAAAATCTATGCGAAAGTATAGCAGAATCAACTATCAGGTAATGTTTCAATTTATCATTATTAAATTCATTTATTACATTCTCGTTGAAGATGTCGAATGGTATTTATTATTCTGATTTCATACCACTGTGTCTTACTCAATGATGTCGATAATGTGTGCCTATAAATCTTATACCCGTTTGGGAAGACGAAAATCCATTATATATAAGGCGACGTTTATGTGAGATTTCTAATGGTATGTCCATTATTGTGACATACCGTTTACACAAGAATAATTATATTTACCATTCAATATGCCATATTATTATAAGACTCTGTATATATTATTTCGTAAATTGTTATATATTTGCATTAATAAAGTGCCAAAGAAAACAAATGTTGGGTGGATGTTCTCCAAAATATGTGTTATACAATCTATAAGTCTAGGTGCATATATACGAAATAGTATGGTACATATATATTTGTATATTACTAGGGGATATATCTTTTTTTTTTAGAACTCTTATTTAAAGCAAGTTGCTCTACGTCTTAAGGGTTTTTAAGATCTTCATCCTTTGCAGTGATGGTATCATTGGATGGTATGATGGTCGACTCTGTAAAATAAAAATGTTGAAATATGTGTGTAATTATTTCAGAGCTATAGTCTAGGATGGAGCAAAAGAGAATCTACATTTATTACCATTATCCTTCGATGATGATTCTTTTTCCGATTCTAAACCTTGATCCTTTGAATTCTCCTTTTCAGATGTTACCTGCATATAATTTAGAGAATCAGCGGTCATAATTATAGTCAATATAATTATTATTAATAAAATGCATACGAAATTCTTTCTCGAATATTTATATTAGCACCTGTTTTTGTGACTTATCCTGGTTTTGATCGAATCCGCTCGATGTAGTATGATGTATCGTAGTGCTATTTTTCTTTTCAGAATGTATATTGATAAGATCAGTTTCTCTCTTTGGACCTAAAATCGCAAGATATCAACACTAGAAAATAGTAAATTATTCTGAAATTATTCAATTCATGTTTAATATTATAAGTTTTCTTACATTGTAGTGTCTTCTTCTTGAAACCTGTGGAAAAAATGAATAATTATTTCTATTCGACTAAGAGATTATATTAAAATTTCGTATATATAACGTTGTTGTGAATTGTAAAATATAACATGTTAAATTAATTTAAAAGCGAAAATATATTCCAGTAAATCATAATCTCACTTACTATGCAATTCTTTAATAATCGTATCAAATTCTGTCAAATTTCCGTCATTGAATAGGTAAAGATTTTTACGACGATCGAAGCCGATAGAAGCCAGAGTGAGTAAGAATTCCCAGTTATCTTCTAATCCGATCGCAACAATACGATTGCCAATAGTCTTCATCTGAGCGAGAATTTCTAAATAGTACGACATGTAGTTTGCGTCGATGATAATGACTATCAAGGTAAATATAGTATAAGTAAAAATTATTATATTAATTAAATAAATGTATCTAGAAGATGTATTATATTCCTCTTTGTATCATTTTTCCATTTGATTTATTTACGTACATATCACGATTTTTCTTCCTTTATGCACCGATAATTGCTTATTCCAGGTATTAGAATGCAATTGGCGAGAGTTGTCCACTGCGTTCGATTTCTTTGTGACGGAATTAATCATTTGTAACGCCGCACAAGTGTCAGTTTGATTGAATGACAATTGAATCGGTAGATTCATGCTATACATTCCCATTTTGAGATTATAATTCATTCTAAAACATGATTAAAACGATGATGCGTATGTTCAGATCATACATAGATGATTGATAAGAAAAATATCTTTTCTCTGCTTATGCGATATAACTGATACAGCATATATTGAATGAATATAATTAATACATCGATACTTACGGAAAGATGTTTAGAATTTGTTCTGTAAAGCGCAACGATAAGGATTGCATTTTTTCATTCGCATGATCCACAATGAAGAAGTAACCGGCGCTTCTTTGTAGATCGTGATCTAATGATCTCACCATTCGTTTCGCGTAATCTTTCGATACTACAAGATATATTTTCAGTCTTACACGAAATATCTTTGCAATAAACGCGAAATTTATCTTTAAAATATGTCGAATAATTTGTACGAGTTAATTGTTAATTTTTTTTTAAATTCTTATTAGAGTTCGCCGAAATCTCTGAAAATTATTCATTACCGATACAGAGCGGAACTTCGAGCCAATTTTTCACGGTATTCCATCCGTGTTGATGCGTGCAAAATATCTTTCTTATTCCCATCGTCATAAATCCATCGTCGCAGCGTAATTCGCAGCGTTTGCCTTTCGGCGTGTCTTCGCATATCCAGCTGCCGTTATTTACGGGCGGTGTTACGTTGCACGCTGAAATGTGACGTGTGTCTTGTTACGTCGCGTTCGTTTGCGTGGAGAAAAAACGACGATATTTTTCGTGACACATAGTTTCTCTCGTACTTATCTTGCAGACGAACGGTTGTTTGTTGTCGCAATCGAGACCGTAGAAATGCGGTCTCACGTGATCGCTGCGGTCCAGATTTAGGCAAGTCGACGCGTGACCGGTATAACGATCGAGCTGTTCGTCGTTCATGTTCGTCCAGGGTGGAAATCCGAAGGAGTCCTTCCTATTCGCGATCCTACGACCGCTTTGTGTCCATTGCCACTCGTTCTTTTTAATCAAATTTCCTCCGATCCAAATGTGAGATATATCTGTAGGTAATGAAAGGAAAAATATGCAATCATATATGTATACGCGAAATAAACCATTGTCAGTTCTAATATTTTAATCGTATCTCTGAAATTTTTATCTAACAGCTTTAAAATCAAATAATTAACATACTTTGTTTCAGATTAATATGTAACGTGAACAATCACGGGCGATTTTCAACTTCGATTAGTCAGGAAACGAAGTGAAGACAAAGAATAGAATATAATTTTAATTCGAATTGTGTAATTATATCGATAGTATACCTTTAGGATGATCGCCCATGGCTTCAACGATCAGATTAGTGATGTTTATGTCATTTATGTGAGCAAGCACGCTACCCCGTTCGTTACAAAACGCGTTGCTCTCCTGCCAGGTCTTCTCCATCGGATAAATAACATAAATGCTATCATTGTACGTGAACTTTGTAGGCTCGTTTAGCCAATTGTTGAGCTCGTCTTTCGGATCTAAAGTAAGTGTCAAGAATGTGAATGATTTTTAGGACGCAATTATTTTTATGCTACGTAAAAGTTTTCACGAATGAAACTGACTTTTGCATTCAACGGCTCATTAAACGCGTTTGACTTATCACCGCGATTATCAATAAACAAGGTGAACGACCTTAATATATCTATAATACATGAACGTACATTCCTCGCATATAAAGTCGCGCTTGCGGTCGCATCGCGTCTCGATGAAGCTCGGCGTATTGTCCATGTGACGATCGAAGAGCAGGCATCCGTCGTTTCTTTCGGATCTACCGGATTGCCACGGCGGGTATCCGTTCTCATCTGTTGCAGGCTCCAAGCTCGTACCCGTGGACAACCATATCCATTGACCATAGGTATAATGCGCCCCGATCCAGACAGTCTCGAAGTCTTAATACGGAAAATGAGATTTTAATTGACAATTAATTATTTTTAGGCTTGAAAAATTTCTCTATAGAACTAGAGTAAAATCATTAATTGGCGCAAATTCTTTTACCTGGTCGTGCCTTCGTCATGATATTGGCGAGAATCTCAATGACATCAGAATTGCTCAGAATAGCTAATCTGGCGCCTAATAAACGGCAATATACCGCGGCTTCTTCCCAGGTAAATCTGGCGTGATAAAAAGTATACGTGTGTCGTTGTATCTGTACCCACTTGGAAGGTATGGGTTTTCCGACTCCCTCTTCAGGTCCTGTCGACAGAAATTGAAACATTTTATGTTCGATCAATATTTTTCGAAGTCGGAAGGATATATTTGAAATAAAATAGATAGGAAAAAGAAGTCGTGTTACTCCTTTCGCAGATAAATGACCGTTGCAGACGACAGTCTAGGTCGATGAAATTGGGGTGAGAATGAGCGCGACGGTCTATTGCCAGGCAGTTCTTCATCGGTCGCGATGGTTCCCTGGCCCAAGGCGGGTAGTCCTCTATATTTGGTTGTACAGGTATCTCGCTGTTTTTCCGCGATCCAACGCGATCGTACATCCACGACCACGTATTTCCCAGACGTCGTCCGCCGAGCCACGAATCTTCCTCAATTTCTAATCTCGAATAATCGCGGATAATTTATTTTAATAAACACGATATAATTTACAGAAATATTTGGATAATAGGATGTAGTATCAAATCACACCTATGTTAGAATCCGCTATCAACTCTGCAACTTTTGTGGCTTTTTCCAAGGTATCTAGGATAGCGAGCTTTGCGTTGTAATAACTGCAAAGCACTCGCGCTTCGTCCCAAGTCACTTGTTGAGAGAAGAAAAGATATTGCGTTTCGTTCAAATCGTAATATTCAACCATTGATTGAGGCTCGCTTTTACCTTTTTAAAATAATTATTTACTTAAAAAGGCAAGTTATACATGTTAACGGGATTATATTATATCGAAAAATAACTATAAGAATGTTAAATAATTAGTTTTTACTAGAATACGTACAATGTTTCTCAAATATTGCAGTGTTCCAATCGGCTCCTGTAGATATGACATCATATGAGACATTGTTATCTTATGAAATATTATGTGAGAAGGAAGAAAGGTCGAAAAAATTTAATTTCTTACTTGTTCCATGTACCTGATATTGCATTTCCATCGTGGATGTGACTAGAATTTATCGTTCATTTATTTTATATATGTATTAAAAATAATTGAATTGCAGGAAATTAATTTATATATATTCTAATGTTAAATTTACTGTTTGAATATTTTTTGTATATTTTGATAGAATTTTGCAGCAATACTCACTTGCACCTATTGCTACGACGGCGGCGATGAAAAGTAAAGTAGACATTATTGAAATTCTCGACGAATTTTCATTACCTATTCGAAAAACGATTTATCCATCACATCGACCTCGATAGTCGAATTGATCTAAGATCAGAAACTTTAACTTTTTTAATCCGCGCAATGTGTATTTCTGACTTTGCCTTCGCATTCCAGAGACCACTGTGCGGAATTATAATTTTACGTCGGGGAAACGCGTATACTTGGCATTAGTTTACCAAATAACGATAATTTATAGCGATTTAAGATCGCTATGAAGGAATTCAATGTCGCGTCGGAATTAAATCATCGTTACGCAATAGAAAAAAAGCATTTTTTTCTCTTTGCTATAATATTTTTATATATGGTATATTTTATTATTATCGATACATATATTTATGAATACATGTTCTTAATGAATTATATCGTATAAATTGATATCCACTAAATTTGTTGCATCTTTCTCTGATGAGTAATGCGATTACAATGCATATTCTAGGTATTTCATTGTTGCAGCGGACTTATCGCACAGACGCGATGACCCTTTCCAGATCTGCATCGCCGATAATCGGCGCGAATAATTCCCCGGCCAATTCTCGAGGACAACATCCAGTGAGAATAGGTAGGACAAATAGAATCTTGGCCAACTTGTTTTCGCGATCGTCACGATGCCGAAGATGTCGTATTAACGCCTCTACGGCGTTATCTCGCGCTTGCGACATTACGCGGAAACCGTTGGTGGTATTGGCAATCTCTGCAATTTTAAAACGATATACATGCTGTAACATATTTTTATCGTCGACGTATTGAAACTTGAGTCGAAATTTTGTTCCCATTTTCAACCTTAATTTTTTCACTTTATGAATTCCAGAGAATTTCAATAGGTTTATATAAGAACTGAGCCTATTTTGTATATCAAATAATCAAATAGACAATAAACAAACAGTTTTCTATTTAAAAATTCAAAAGAGAATTTTTAGCAAAATTATAGATCAAATTAGTTTCAAAAGAGAACGATTTGTTAACTGTTTAAAATATCAAAATAGCTGTCGGATTGAAGAGGTAGGAGAAAAATTCCGATTCGGAACGGCATGTGATTTTTTTTTAGCTTTTATTTACCGGGACGACATAGCGCGAATGTGTCTAGAATGCATAATTCGACATCATCGAGTTGCAGTTTTGCGATCGCGGTGCGCGCCGCGGTCAGGCAGGCTGTCGCACCGTCGTTATTCGTCGTGTCTTGTCCACGTATGTTCATCAAATCGACCGGCCACGTGGCTGCGCGTAGAACGAAAAGAGCGGACCATCCATGACGGAGAATTTTATTTTGCTCCTCCACGTTCAACATCAAAAAATCTCGGTGCCGACGTGCACTCCGAACGGCTGCCAGAAATATTTGCGCAGATATTTCGTATTGTATAGCCGTGCCTGATAAAATCCGTTTGAATTATCGTCTAAGATATAAATCGCGTGCAACGATTGCAGTGCATTATCAAAAATCAAAATTTCTCTCTGAAACTACTAAACTCGATTCAATTTTGGAGAGAAAAAAATTGATTAAGCTTCATCTTTTATATTTTATTAATAATTTTTTTAATAAGCGTTTAAAAGATTTTATAAAGCATCTGCTGCGAGTTAAATACATAATTTACATATTTAACGGAAAAGGAAAATTACCAGGCGATATAATCCTTGTCGGTTGTATATGGCGCGACATGACAGGTAAAAATATATTCTCTCCAGTTTCAGACTCGTGTAATGTCTTCATCATTAAAGTGTTGTTCAGTGCGGGTTTTTTAAAAGGCAAATATATCTCGGAATTGTTAAAGCGCGCACAAAGAGTCGTCGATGAATCGACTGTAGGCTTCCAGGTGAGACTAGAATTATGCGGATTTGAGAGTGCGTTACTTCGAACGCGCGGTCCTCGTTCCTCCTGCACCGCTGTAAAAATGTATGCTTTAAAAGTTTAACATTATCTCTTGTAAATAATTGTTTTCGAAAGAGAAAAATAAAATATATAAATATCTCGTAAAGATACAAACAATACATACAACTTTTTGAATGGATATTAAATATTTGTGAATGTTTCATGAAAGTATTAAAATTTTGTTTTTCAAATTGCATAATTATTTACAATTCACTTTTATTACGAGAATATTAGTCATGCACTTATATTATGAAAATATAGCATGTTATTTTCACTCTTATAGAGAAAAAAAAAAAAGATATTTACGAATTTCTTTGTATACTTTATTGCAACAGATTCGAGATTTAAATATGAATCGCTTAAATTATTCTCAAATATTTTTTAGAAAATAACAAGGAGTTGCCTGTGAAACATATTCACTGATTCTTTTATTTCGTTATGTGACTGTCTTACTTGCGTGCCTCCGTTATAATCAATACGAAGGCGCGCGTAACAATGATGTAGTCGAACAATTTTAGCGGGATTGCTTTAATTCTCCGATCACAGCGTACAGGCTTTGTGTATTTAAGAGCTGACCAACGGAGTTGACACTCGATGTCGTTTCACGTGACACGTTATCGCAATGGCTATCACTATATTATTTACAAGACTAAAGCCGGAAAAAGTTAGCTAGGAAGACAACTATCGCAGCCTGTATTGATTTACTTATATAACTGATTTAATCGTTTTCTTAAAACTCTTGAATGTTTTATTTCTGAACGATAAAATTTAAATCGTGTGAAATACACAACACAATACATGATATACACAAAAGAAACATTAGATTGACATCGATTGTCTTGTTGCAAGCCCGCTGTCAATTAACTTTTCCAGATAGCGGTTAAGGGTGAAGAGGCACGTGTCTAGCATACGCCATTGTTTGCATCTCGTTGAATTCGTTAGCACCTGCTCGACCTTACCGTGACTACTTGTCGGCGGTGATTTTATGTTCCGTCTGAGATTTTGTATGCACAAGACATCATATATGAATTTAATGTTGTTCGGCACGAAAAATAACAAATGATAAAGATAGATTCTCGGTTGAAAATAAACGCACTTAAATGACAATTATAAAATTTTTTAGGAAAAGAAAAAAAATATTTTAATTAAAAGTTTTATTTTACAGACAAATGATGATATGTATTAATCTTTAAACGAATATAAAATATATATGTAATGTGTGAGATTATTATTGTTGCATGTCAATTTTAAAACGGAAACTTGATTTCTCTAGCTAAGTATGTATCAGAGTGTATAAAAAAATATTGTTTTTTTTTTTTTTTTTTTTTTACTTACCTGCTGTATTCATGCCAACGGAGAAGCATTTTTTTAGACGGCAATGCGGACACCAATTTCGTCTGGCTTTGTCAACAGTGCAAGAGCCATCGCTATCTAAATAATTACAGATTCGATTATGTTATATGTATATCTATTTTATATCTCAACCAAATGTTCTTATGATATGCATACTAAGTGATACTGACAATGAGACACGCTGTATATTTTATTACTTTTGTTAAAAACATATACAGACTTGTGCAGGTAAACAAGGCGCCGCGACGCACAGATCTCTTGAAGAAACACGAGCAACCATCGCAACAATAAACACCGTAATGTTTGCCGTATGATCGATCACCGCACACTTTGCAAGACACCGGCGTGGGCAGAGTTCTTCCTATCGCGAAAAATATTATCATTCATCAGATAGGAATTTCAGGAATACCGAGATTTTACTTCGCAAATTTTTCACAACTATTTACAATTGATTTTCATTATAAAAACCTTACTTATATTTGACTCGTGCATTTGTGCTATCGAAATACAAGATGTTATCTTTGATTGAATATTTACCCATTTTTTTTATATTTCACTGCAACAGATTCGAGAACGCCAGAATCGCAAATCTGGCCTGATTTCGACGGAATGTAAGAGTCACGCGATGATCGCAACGAGCGATCTAACAATGAGCGATCGTGCCCGATCAGGCTCGCGAGCGAAGACAAACTCTTATGGAACAACGTGTGGAAGACGCTCCCCTGTCCGAGGGAGGTTTAACTCGCAATGGTGGTGGAAACGAACTTGGGGGTGAGTTGGATTTGTCCGATGTGTCACTTGGAACGTCAGAACGCGGAAGGATAATATTTGCGGTGGACTGGTCGAGCGTAACCGATTATTGTTCGATCGTGAAATTATTATTTCAAGATAGACGCGAGAAGACGACTTTATTCAATCCATCGACGTCATATACGATACGGAAAAGAAGAGACGTCCGCTTTATTATAATTATCCGAAATTTATTTGGAAGAAAAAGAAACGCTCTGATATATTCAATAGTCTACTCTGCAGAAGTAAGAGATTACATGTAATATTTTTATTGAAAAAAAAAATTTTTTCTCGATTTACAATGTTTTCGCGTTTGATGTTACGAAGGTATATAAAAATATGTTAAATAAAAATCCACAATCCAATCTCCCATTTCTTCAGTATTATTATGATTCGTCTCGAAATTTAATCAACAAGGAGATATAATTTTATTTTCTTTTATTTATCAGCAATACAATTAAAAAGATATGTCAGAAACGCATCGGATTTTACAAATAATATTACGTGCGTTATTGTACAAAGTCGTTTAAAGTTATGCTTCTAACTTTCGGATACGTATAAATAATTGAGTGTCCTCGTTTGCCTTCGAAGAAATATCACCATCAATTGCGTATTATGTATTTATAGCACTGTCATATTGCTTCAATAATTTATTTGTCCATAGTTCATTGTCAAAAGTTCATGTGTGTGAACAATTTGCGGAAATTTTAATCACAACTGTACAAGTATAACATGATTGTGATTTATATTTTTCATTAACTTTTCGCGAGTTTATTTCAAATAGGTTTTCTCTTTCCCCAGTTCGGAAGGAAACGCAACTTTCCTCGTCTTAAGTGGATAAAATTATTTATTGCGCATCGCAAAAGTAAGTTATAGAGGAACTATACACAAAGATTCACATTCTCTTGATTAACTAAACGTATGCTTGAGGAAACCGTGGCAGCCCTTCGGGCTACAAGTCAATAAATTATAAGAATGGCTCATCAGGCTTCTTATTTTTATTCTTCAAAGTGAATCGTTATTGTATTTGTGCAAGGATTATTATTACAAGTCTCATAACATTATTGAACCTCGAAAAATCGATTTTGCCTCTGTTTCGCTTATTTCTTATGACTTTATAATTCAATGTTTATCATGCTTGTCGATAGATAAGGTGAATAATATATCTTTTGAATATTCAAGGAAAATAATTTAAACAGGATGATATATTTTTGTCAAAAATGGAAAGATATTATAAGCAGCTATTCTGATTCAGTTTCATTTTAGTATTAAATAAAACGATAAAGAGTTGCCGAGAAAAAATATCTATTTCTAACATTGCGATAGAGTTTACCATGAGGATTATTTACAATTAAGTACTCTCTGAATAGTGCGTGCAGCGCGCATTTGTTGTGTAACGAAGAGGGAACTGTGCTGGATAATGGGTGTAAGTAAGTTAAAGAAACTATTTCGACATTTAAACATCTTTTTCGTCTATAATCGTCAATATATAAATCGAGATATACTACTGTTCGATTAGGAAACTGAAAAATAGTCGTATATCTTTACGCTTTTGTCAAATCAGGAAGCACTCTCTCGCACTAATTATATTATTTTATTATAACTCAGCTATTTACACATGTATCGGATATTGCGAACGAACGCAAGAAGCGCGTAGTTAAATATGGAAATGTGCTGCGTCTCGTATTAGCATTTTATAGTTAAACTAGCGTGGAGTGATTTTTAATATCGTCGTCCTTCAAATAATTCTTTTATAATCCCTGTCATTGACTAGAGATCAAATTCTCCTCCTGATTAGGACATCATATCTGTTAATGACACGCTTAAAATCGAAATCTTTAAGACACATTGATATTTTATCTCTCCTCGAATCGTTTCATCAAAACATCAAAGCGTCCGCGTAGCTTTCTGTGTATGATGTAATCATTCTCTCGAAAAGTTTTATATATGTTTATATCTTTTCGAGGAATAATATATTCTCCTCCTGGATTTATAATGTTTCAAAAAAATGCTATCACTGATTTTTCTAATTTTTGAAACAATTGCGCGTCCGTCATTGACTAGTCCTGCGTATCGTAGAAGAATCCTTCCATTTGTCCTAATCGTTCCAATAGATTAATTCAAGTCAGATCAATCTTCAATCTTAGATTCACTATTTCGTGATGTAAGCTTCTCAGCGAATACTTGGCTAATCCGTGTTGCGGAAAAGTCTCTTCGTTGCTCAATGCGTTCGAATTCACTTGTCGAGGCGATTCTAGGAAGTAGATTTTGATCGCTAAACAATTACGAGGACGCGAGTAATTTCGCCGCAGTGGTGACGTGATGCTGATGATGATAGGGCGTTTCCTGGGTGGCGTAATAGCTCTGCTGCTGATGCTCGCTCGTGGCGGCGAGTTGATGCGGATGCTGATAGTAAGACGAATACGGCTGGCCAACGACGCCGTCGCAGCTTCGCGGTTCCGTTTTCACAGCAGGTACACTTCCGGTGGCGAGAAGAGATGTATGCCCAAGATAAACAGGTCTGTCGGTCGATGTCGACGAGCCCGACGACTTTGACGCATCGATCTGATGTTGTTGTTGCTGCTGCTGCTGCTGTTGCTGATTGCTCTTTAAGTCTGTAGAGAAATAATCGCAATATCTTATAAATAAATTATAATAAATGAGATATCGAATGATGGCCATATTATTTGCAAGATCTAATAAATATAAGAAATATGAATAATGAATATTATTGCCATGTAATAATTTTAATTTAAAATTAGAAGGCAAACGAGTGATGAATTACATAATTAAAACTATTCTTATTTATATTAAAAAGTTAGATGAATATAAAATTTATTATCTGATGAATATATAATTATATTTTAGAATTTTATATTTTTATATTTGATATACGACGTATATTTATATTTCATATGATATATTTTTGTGTTATACGCAGAGAAAAAAAAAATGTAACATCTCTACAGACCTGTGGAAGGAGAGGATGTAGTCGAGGTGGTGGTTTCGTGATCCCCCGTAGAAGATCTGGCATTCGGCTCTGGGGTCTTCTTCGGCTTCCTCTTCCTCGTCTGTATACCGTCCTTTCGCATCGCCAGCGGCCTATTCACCCCGTGCAATTTGAAGTACAACCCGCAAGCGTTGCACACCGGCTCGCCCTCGTTGTTGCGCCTCCACAACGTCGTAGTGCGGGTGCCGCAGTTCGTGCAGCACAGCCCGAGTCGCCTCGTCGCGGTCTGAAATTCCGACATCTGTCCCATTTGTAACGCACTTGCTGATGCTGCTCGAGGTACGTTTGTTGTTAAACAAAATATAGAAGAATTGAACATACCTTTTTTCTAGCGTATTTTATTAAAAATGAACGCGCTAAATAATTTTTCTAATACATTTATAAAAAGGTATTTGTATTAGATATATCTTGATAGGTTTATACGATATATTCATTTCATTTTAGAAGTTAAAAGCTTGGCCAGATTTTTCGTGAACGCTCTATGTATATAACACTATATAACTTTCTTTTTAGCGTAAAAAATAGCTCTCTTGATAAAAGTGCGCATGAATATACGCATAGGCATATTGATGAAATTTCATATGATCATTTATGGATAAGCTTACCAGGCGTTTCGAGGGCTTGATGAGCGGCCTGTTCATGCCGTTCATCTTGTGATAAAGTCCGCATGCGTTGCAGAGATAATGGCCAGTGCCGTCCCTTCGCCAGAGCGGCGTCGATATCGCGCCGCAATTCACGCACTCGCGACCCTCACCGAATTGAAAATCCATCGCGGTGTCTGCAATCATTTTCGATTGATTAACGTTAATACCATTAATCAATTTTTTTTTTTTTTTTTTTTTTTTTTTTTTTTTTTTTATCAAGCTCTGACTGAAATTTTATTTGGAATTAAAAGAAATTGAAGAGAGCATTAAAATTGTAAAGAAAGGATTTAAATCTTATTCTGCATTCGACGACATTAATTCTACCACTGACTCTGCTTTTCATTCTAATTCTACTCGCTCTTCTCGTAAATCGGGGATAGTCTTTGTGGCGCGTCGAGCTGACAGAATAAGACCGGCGCTCTCTTGCGTCTTTTATCTGGTCTCGAGGATGCCCGCGGCGGGATTTAAAGTTAGACAGAGCAGAGAGTGCGACGGAGGCGATTCTCGCACTTCTCTTCGGAGAAAGCAGCATCCGCACGCTCTGGACCGATTCTCCTTCCCGCGTTCCCGCCACTACCGTAAAACACTTGACCGCGGCATCGACCCGGCCAACTTCAAAGGCGCCGCTATCACTTATCCATCGCACATGGCCCGCCGCGTGCGTGGCGGCGAGCACAGCAGCATCCGCGAGGAAAGTAGTTTCTTTCTCTCTGCCGTTCTCCAGTTTGAACTCTTCCCACCCTACCCCCCCAACCCCCGTTTTCCGTTCCGTAACGGTGCTATCAACGAAGTCGGTGTTAATCACACGGCATCAAACGCTTCTTTTCACGCGCGCGTTAATTCGATTTATTTCAGGTGTCGTTCGAAAATTTGTACGCGGGTATGATATTTAGCTATTAAAGAACGGAATTTTTTTTTGTAAATAAGAAAATAGTTCGGGGTCAGAGAGATTTTAAATCGTGTCATGTATAGAAATGGTTCCCTTGAAAATTCCACGGGTACCATCTCGCGCGTGTTATCGTCGCGCGCGTTCGCGATATCGTCTGCGGTTTCGATAAACTAATCGTCGCGCCATAGGAAATTGCATGCCTACGTATCTTATCGCCCCGGCATATACGGGCGGTTCACATAACTTTTGTTTATCATCGGAACTTTACGCGTGATGCACGTCAACGAAAAGCGATATACGTTTTCATGCGGTGGACTTGAAGGTTCATGTAATTTAGCCGCATCACAGTGGTACTCTTTTACGTATAACATATAAATATTTTTTCAATCGATATTATTATATAAAAAAATTTTCTTTATTCTATTCCAAAAGTACCTATACCGGTATCATTTAACTTGACTTGCGCATCGTACCTGTTGAAAAAATATTATCGCCGAGAAGCGGCCAAGTGACATTCCTCTTGTCACGATTTTACACAGTTCGCGGTGTAAAAATATTTACAATACAATATATCGAAGAGCTCTTGCAATGTATACGGTATACGAACCATAAGGCGAGGCGCGTTGGAAGCCGGCGCCGTCGTAGGCGCGCCACGAGGACATCATCGCGACATTTTGCGCGTAGAAGGGTGCAGCTGCGGCGAGGGTCGAGTGCGGATGCGCCGCGTGCGGGTGTCCCGCATGCGGATGACCCGGACCGGCGTGCGGACCCATCGCCGATGCGGTTCCGCTCGCGTGACCGGCGAGCGCGTGATGCGCCGCGTATGTCTCCACTCCGTGCTGCCAGGACGCCGTCTTCTCCCTTCGGTAAGGATCGAGAAAAACGTTAATCACTACAGATATACACTGTAAAAAGAACTTCAGACAAAATATCTGAATTTTCAGATAGAATATTGTCTGAATTTTCAGACGCATTCTTTTGAACTTCTACACTGAGAAAAAAAGTTTTTAACTTGACTAAATGCGTTCAACAAATTATTATTTCTTTAATTGAAATATTTAAGTATTTAAATTAAATATGACATATTAAATCTAACATGACGTATTTGACTTAAGTACTTAAATATTTTAATTTAAAAAATGATAATCAGTTGAACGCATTTAGTCAAGTTAACAACTTTTTTTTCTCAGTGTAGAAAAATGACTCTGATGAAAACTCTGATTAAGACAGATTGTCTGAAATTTCTCTCGGTCATCCAGATCCGAAAATTCAGGCAAAAATGTGGCTGAATTCTTGGCAATTTTTTACAGTGTACGTTTGAGATTTAAAAAAATAAAAAATGTCGATGTACGTGTACCATGCAGGCGAGGGCGAGGTGGGGAAGGAATGATACTGCGCCGCCGTGGACGGGATCGCCGGCCTCGACGAGGGGACGTAAACGGGTGCCTGGAGCTGCTGGCTGTGCTGTTGCTGCTGCTGCTGCTGGGACTGCTGGTAATCGGAACTTGCGCCGTACCCGCCACTTCCGCCCCCGTGGAACATTCTCTCCCACCGAGAGCTATCACCGCGGCATCTGTCAAAAATCGAAAAATGTTTTGTCCAAAGTTAGTGAAATTCCCTTGTCTCTGTCTACCATCGGAAGCTTCTCCGATTCGCGCGACGAATTTGTATAAATTGTATAATTGCGTACTATTGAAATGCAAGACAATACCCTTGATTTTAAGTAATCTTTTCAGCGGATGTTGATACAACGCCAGGTAAAACGGCGCGTACTTTGCGCGCTATAAAAGGGTTACCGCCGGTAATCTCATTTTGCTACCGTGGAAAGATATATCGTTACACAAAAACGGGTAATAATATGGAAGCGGTAATAATACATTCTGCGAGGCAGATAATGTTAATGGTCCCTTTGGCCGATAAACACATTGAGATCCCGTCGGGTGTCATGTACGACGACGAGCAAACGCAGCGTGGGCCGCCCATGAGACCAAGGATGGTCGTGAAAAAATCTCGTCATGGTCGCCGACGGGGACTCTTTCTCTCTCTCTTGTTTTGCCTGAACGATTTCGTGATCGCAAATCGGAAAAAGAACTAGAAGTCCTTCGACTTACTCGAGTAAGCGCCTTTCAAACTTCAAAGCGTGAAGCTTATATGCTGTGATGTCAACGAGAATGTTGACAGAAAGTTTATTTAACTCTGTCCGTACGTGACGTGTGAAAAATATCTTGTTTTACTATATAAATTAATTATAAATCTGACGAATATTTTTTCTTTACTCTGAATGATTTTGATAAGGATCTCTAAAATTGCAACATTTTTGAAATTTAATTAAGTACGCTCGCATTCCTTATCGCTACAATATATATTTAATTTAATTTAATTTTTCTCTCATTTCTCATATTATTACAAATAGCATTGAGATGATTAAGCAAGTATATATACGGTAAGTGCATTGCTTGCGATAATTGACAATTACAGCTGAGAGGTAATTTCCATCCACGCGTGCGTTTTAAGCTCCATCATGCGATTTTATGATGCAATATGGATTTAACGATGATATTTTACTATTAGCGTTATTCAAGCGCGGCGAGAATTTATCTCGCGATATTGTTAGAAACGAAAATGGCGACATATCGTTATCTCTCTTCGCACACCGAGTCCATTTCGGTACGCGAGTCTTGTGCCGCCCACGAGTCTTATTGTCAGGACACGCATCTCCTTAAGAATACGCGCACCGTATCTATGCATTCCATTTAAGCACGATGTGTGCACATCGTGCACATGAAACATACTTGTGTCGAGAAGTTTAAACAAAGCGGATGCACTACCGCTAAACATAAGATATGAGATAAAAACGTATTTAATTTAATTTTTTTCTTTTATTTCAGTCTCTTGGCATTTTAACATGTTTTTATTATATTTTTATCGTTATTCAAACTATTTACGTGACACGATTCGCTTTATATCCTTCTTTGAAATGCAACATTTTCCTCTACGCACAATTATCAATTTGTACGATTAATTGATTCCAAAATTCATAATAATATATATTTTGTAATTTATTTTAATTGAAACCGTATTTTGTAGCAGTGAAGTATATTAGTGGCGATCGATGCTCGTTTTTTGGAGCATATTTAGATTACATCGGATTTTTCACATGATAAAACCCTCCCATTGGGTACACCTTGACGTTGGTGGGAGGGCTCAGTACCTGGAAGGTTTATCCTGAAGGGGAAGCCAAGTACCCAAACGGTTTCCGTTCGATATCCGCGTTTTCGTACTTTAAATAATTCGGGCGAAATATCGCGTATTCAAGTTCGGGAGTGCCGTGAAAGTTATCGCGCGTCTATTTTTTCGTCTTAATTTTTAATTTCGTGAATGCCGTGCAAAGGCATTATTATCAGAATATTGAATCGTGATCAAAATTCGGGAGTGGATCTCGCGCGTCCATTTTTATCGTCGCCGCGGACGATTCGCGCACGATCATAATTAATGATCGTTTTTTTTTTTTTTTTCGTGAGTAAATGCAATGTGTGAATGCAACGAACCTAGAGGAGAGGAATAACTTGACAATCTGAGAGGAGCAAAAAGTATCTACGTAGTCAATTCCATTACATTGATCTGTATTGTGAGTAAGAAATTTTTATCTTATGGTAAAAAATACCAAAGTCATTGATACTTTCTATCTTAATAAACAGCAATTCTTATTTGCAATAATATTTAATATAAATTATATTGATACATAATATTGATACTTGTAACATTTTGATATCGTGTGAATGAGAATATCGATACCTGACGAAATATAAGCATCCCTAGGCATAAGATAACTCCGATGACAGAATGGTAGATATTAAATTTTCATACGCCTTGCCACCCACGGTCGTCCCATTGTCTGGGACACTCGCGTTCTCTGAAGGAACGACTAAAGTACCGCCGTAGTCGATACTTCCACGAGTCGGCCCTTCGCGATAGGTCCAACAAAGGGAATGGAGAGTAGGTAATTTATGGTCACGATGTACAACTGGTACGAGAGAAATGCACCGAGATGCATTTGCGCGCAAGAAGGGAGGAAAGAGGGAGACAGGGAGGCGGGGAGATTTGCAGGAAACATTATTCGCATACTTTCTAATCGATTTATTGTCACGTAATTTTCCTATTCCGCAAATTTTATTTATCTACTTTAGAAATTATGAGAGATGTTATGTCAAGAAATATCAAAAATTTAAACATATTTATCAAAAGTCTCGAATTTTTTAAATATTTAGGATATAATATAAAATCAATTTCTCTCTTAATTGACTACAATCAGGACGCAAAATTAAACGCACCGTACATCGAAAGTGGGGTGTTCGTGACAAGGAGGGAGAGGGAGAAGATCGACGAGAGATTGCAAGAGAGAGAGAGAAAAAGAGACAGCAACAAAGAAGCGCGCAGGTCCGAAAAAGGGGGAGATCGGAACGCGTTGTAGTGGGGATCAAATGATAGTCTACGCGTCGGAGAAAGAGAGTCGCAGAAAGCCCGGCGAATAAAGGTACCGCGGTAGGAAGAGAGAGGCACCGGAGACGCGCAGACGCGTCTCCACCTTCGTCGCTTGGCTCCGACCGTTGAATCAAAGATACCGATAGCGGCCATCGCGGTCACGAATGAACCCCCGTGTAGGCGGGTCCAAAGCTTTCGTATATGCGTGGATCGCGTGCGTGCGCGCTCGCGCACGCACACACGAGTCGACGTGGCGTGCATGTGATAGCGTTAATCTGCTGCACGGCTAACAATAAGTGGATAGTGATCGATTGGATCGAACTCGAGGTTGATCGAAGAGAAGGTGAGACAGGAACTGTACGCGTATTTTATTTGAATCAATGATTTAATTATATTAAACTTCTTTCTCATTTGTTTTTCTCTCTTGTTGTTGTAATTTTCATTCTTTTTCACTGAAAGAAGATGGATTTTAAATTCATTGATAAAAGAAGCTAGCTTTGAAATTTTTCCGAATTAAAATAACATGTTTGAAATTTCAATTAATTTACGATACAAGATTTAGGAAGACAGAAAGAGAAAGAAGAGGATGCGTATTTTTCTTCAACAAATAAATAGAAATATAATTTTCAACTTAGAATTTAGTTCATGATAATGTCTTCACAAGGAAAGAAAGATGTCATTGCATATTATACATGTCACATTTAATCGATATGGGAGAATTGAAAAAATCCGCGCGAGCTATTAAATTATGTTATTAGCGATAAAACTTTGGAATTATCACAATATCCAGACGGCATAATAATTTAAGTACTACTATAAATTAAATATCTGATTCCAACTATATACATATATATTGCAGATAGAGCATATTCATTTACCAAGGAAAACTCGTATGAAAATTTCAGTATAGGTATAACTGTAACTGTCAATATACATATATAATTATATTTGATTTGAATGAGACGCGTGGACTGTCTCGTGCTTCTACTGTAATTTTACAAATTTTTAACGTCATAAAGTTCCGTACGTATATTTGTAGCCTAGTATTGTATAAGTCAGAGTTTCTAAAATTTATGCAGAATTTTTCAATTTGATTCTACTTTTTTCACGACTCATTTATTAGAGGGAATATTTTAGGGACCTTAGAATTATAATTTTTAATCGTTTATCAAATGGAGAAAAAAATCTAATTAATTTTTTTCATTCATTTTTAATAGATATGTTCACAGATCTTTCGATGGATATAAATATATCAGCGTGCTTTCACGACTGTTAAAAACGTAGATGCATTATAAAGCAATGCGCTTAACAGATTATGCATAATCTTTTAACCGATTGGTCGATTGCAATTCCCTGCTCGCTAGCAACTATGCGATTCTTTTCGCGGCCACACGATAAATATTGTTTTCTAATTGGCATTAATTATGTTAGATTGCTTGACGAAGCGTAACAAGTGGCAACGCAGCTTATCTCAATTTGCGATAGAAAAACATGTATATCACACACGTATTTTATAACGACAGTCATAAAATTAGCATAACTTATCGACATTCGAGTCATTTTGATATCGCTTAACAACGTTGTGGGAAAACGTGCAACCTTGTAAACATGAATCAAAATCAATTTATTCTCGTATCAGATGACAAGCAAAACGGGAATCCGTTATAAACGGCGTGTTGATATCAAGTATCGGACTATGTACTCGTGTTAATCGTTGAAATAATTTTCTAATATGCACACTAGTTGCACATTTGAAGAATTTTACATTTTTTCTATAAATCATAAGAAGAATTTCATTTCGGATATAGATTAGTTTAAAACGTCATGATTTTTTCATGCGATAGAAAAATTAAAATTTTCGAGAGATATCGCGCCTCCTGCACGTCGGGTATTTCATTATTCATTAAACTTTGCAGCGTAATCCGCGTGAAAGGCGGCAGTCATGTGTCACGCGATCCTCGATGGGAGCTAATTCATTATCCACGCATTGCGTGATCCTTCGCCGAGCGTTCTCGCTTGCTTTCCGAGTAACGCTACATTTGGCTATCGTTAAAAAATATATCAGGTTCGATCGGAATAAGAATGCGATAA